CCATACATACCTCATCCCATGCATACCTCATCCCATACATACCTCATCCCATGCATACCTCATCCCATACATACCTCATCCCATGCATACCTCATCCCATACATACCTCATCCCATGCATACCTCATCCCATGCATACCTCATCCCATACATACCTCATCCCATGCATACCTCATCCCATACATACCTCATCCCATGCATACCTCATCCCATACATACCTCATCCCATACATACCTCATCCCATGCATACCTCATCCCATACATACCTCATCCCATACATACCTCATCCCATGCATACCTCATCCCATGCATACCTCATCCCATGCATACCTCATCCCATGCATACCTCATCCCATACATACCTCATCCCATACATACCTCATCCCATACATACCTCATCCCATACATACCTCATCCCATGCATACCTCATCCCATACATACCTCATCCCATGCATACCTCATCCCATGCATACCTCATCCCATGCATACCTCATCCCATGCATACCTCATCCCATGCATACCTCATCCCATGCATACCTCATCCCATGCATACCTCATCCCATGCATACCTCATCCCATGCATACCTCATCCCATGCATGCCTCATCCCATGCATACCTCATCCCATGCATACCTCATCCCATGCATACCTCATCCCATCCCAAGCATACCTCATCCCATGCATACCTCATCCCATCCCAAACATACCTCATCCCATGCATACCTCATCCCATGCATACCTCATCCCATGCATACCTCATCCCATGCATACCTCATCCCATGCATACCTCATCCCATCCCAAACATACCTCATCCCATGCAGACCTCATCCCATGCATACCTCATCCCACACATACCTCATCCGATAAATGCCTCATCCCATACACACCTCATCCCATACATACCTCATCCCAAACTGCATAACCCTCCGCACATTCGTTTGTGAATTCTTACTGCTGCCCTCAGTTCCTACCCTCTCATATGTGCCCCTCACGAAGTCACAGCATAATTCTCTTATGCTCAGAGGGATATGAGATGGGAGCAACACAGCAGCTGAAGCAGGGTTGATACCGTACTAACCAGCCATGGGGGATGCATTGAGTGAAAGGAGTGTGGCTGTACTATGGAGGTGCATTTGTGGTAGGGATTGGAATTCTGTTGTCTTTCCATATACCGTCCATGCGTTCTGAAACAGATCAATCAACGCATCGTGGGGAGAGCGAACTGTTTGCATCGCTAAGTAAGAACTAGAATTTCTTGAACTGGGATCATTCATTTCATACCGTATCCTACATGCCTCTGGCATGCCAGTGAATGGGCCTCACGGATTGGTGATGCAGCAGCATGTATGCATGACCTCTACCATTTCACATGCAGGTACAGTCACGCGTTTGCTTCACAACGGCCCTCCTTGACTGTGTTTCAGGGATCATTCCCTGCCAACCAGCTTAGCTAACAAAAACTCATGTAGCAAGCTAATGCACATGGGTACATGCCTTGTTACAAATCAATTGTGGTGGAATTTCTCAGAAGGTATATATATATTGTTACTGATGAAGTTTGGACCATTTTAAAACTGACAAGAGAATCAAATGGCATGTTCTCTCTTGCACCAAACATCAGGCCAGCAAGACTCGGTGAAACATCACCCGCGTGCAATTGTTTACTATCGCCGAGACAGTAAACATCGTTCCCGTCTGAGGTCAAGGCACAAGTTCACAACCATCAGCCTACCCTCAGCTGTGCACAGGCAAAGTCACAGTACACAAGTTCACAACCATCAGCCTACCCTCAGCTGTGCACAGGCAAAGTCACAGTACACAAGTTCACAACCATCAGCCTACCCTCAGCTGTGCACAGGCAAAGTCACAGTACACAAGTTCACAACCATCAGCCTACCCTCAGCTGTGCACAGGCAAAGTCACAGTACACAAGTTCACAACCATCAGCCTACCCTCAGCTGTGCACAGGCAAAGTCACAGTACACAAGTTCACAACCATCAGCCTACCCTCAGCTGTGCACAGGCAAAGTCACGGCCAGCCACCAACTTCCACACACCTCCCCAATGCACCTCTCTGCTTTCTCCCACCCACCCTACCCCTTATCTCCATGCACAAATCCAGCAATGCCTTTTAACTCCATCATACACACCATTTCCTGTCCTCTGTGAAGATACTTGTACGCCCTGCACCCAAACAGCGAGGCATTTCCCATGCAGCTCCCCTCACGCAGCGTGCGCGTCGTTACTCACCCCTGATCTCAACCCTCACACCCGCCACTGCTGCTGCCACTGCTGACACCACCGCCGCTGCTGCTGCAAGAGCTGCCACCACTGCTGCTAATGCCACTGCTGCTGCTAATGCCACTGCTGCTGCTAATGCCACTGCTGCTGCTAATGCCACTGCTGCTGCTAATGCCACTGCTGCTGCTAATGCCACTGCTGCTGCGAATGCCACTGCTGCTGCTAATGCCACTGCTGCTGCTAATGCCACTGCTGCTGCTAATGCCACTGCTGCTGCTAATGCCACTGCTGCTGCTAATGCCACTGCTGCTGCTAATGCCACTGCTGCTGCTAATGCCACTCTGCTGCTAATGCCACTGCTGCTGCTAATGCCACTGCTGCTGCTAATGCCACTGCTGCTGCTAATGCCACCGCTGCTGCTAATGCCACCGCTGCTGCTAATGCCACCGCTGCCGCCACCGCTGCCGCTGATGCCACCGCTGCCGCTGATGCCACCGCTGCCGCTGATGCCACCGCTGCCGCTGATGCCACCGCTGCCGCTGATGCCACCGCTGCCGCTGATGCCACCGCTGCCGCTGATGCCACCGCTGCCGCTGATGCCACCGCTGCCGCTGATGCCACCGCTGCCGCTGATGCCACCGCTGCCGCTGATGCCACCGCTGCCGCTGATGCCACCGCTGCCGCTGATGCCACCGCTGCCGCTGATGCCACCGCTGCCGCTGATGCCACCGCTGCCGCTGATGCCACCGCTGCCGCTGATGCCACCGCTGCCGCTGATGCCACCGCTGCCGCTGATGCCACCGCTGCCGCTGATGCCACCGCTGCTGCTGATGCCACCGCTGCTGCTGATGCCACCGCTGCTGCTAATGCCACCGCTGCTGCTGATGCCACCGCTGCTGCTGATGCCACCGCCGCTGCTAATGCCACCGCCGCTGCTAATGCCACCGCCGCTGCTGATGCCACCGCCGCTGCTGATGCCGCCGCCGCTGCTGATGCCGCCGCCGCTGCTGATGCCGCCGCCGCTGCTGATGCCGCCGCCGCTGCTGATGCCGCCGCCGCTGCTGATGCCGCCGCCGCTGCTCATGCCACCGCTGCCGCTAATGCCACCGCTGCCGCTAATGCCACCGCTGCCGCTAATGCCACCGCTGCCGCTAATGCCACCGCTGCCGCTAATGCCACCGCTGCCGCTAATGCCACCGCTGCCGCTGATGCCACCGCTGCCGCTGATGCCACCGCTGCCGCTGATGCCACCGCTGCCGCTGATGCCACCGCTGCCGCTGATGCCACCGCTGCTGCTGATGCCACCGCTGCTGCTGATGCCACCGCTGCTGCTGATGCCACCGCTGCTGCTAATGCCACCGCTGCTGCTAATGCCACCGCTGCTGCTAATGCCACCGCTGCTGCTAATGCCACTGCTGCTGCTAATGCCACTGCTGCTGCTAATGCCACTGCTGCTGCTAATGCCACTGCTGCTGCTAATACCACCACTGCTGCTAATGCCACTGCTGCTGCTAATGCCACTGCTGCTGCTAATGCCACTGCTGCTGCTAATGCCATTGCTGCTGCCACTGTTGCCGGAACTGCTACTGCCACTGCTACTGCCACTGCTGCCACCACTGCTGCCGCTCACCATGCTCGCCTCCCTCACTGCTCCCTTGCTCACCCTTGTCCCCACCTTCCCCGACTACCCTCCCTTTCCCCTCCTGCTCCGCCTCGCCTCCCCCCTCCCCTCCCCCCTCCCCTTCCCCTTCCCGTCTGCCCTGCTGATGACCGCTCCCCCCACCATCAGCAGAATGTCAGCCAGGCAATTCCTATGCAGCTCCTCTCATGCACACGGTGATGTCTTGCCCAACCAGACCTGCTGCATCTGCTTTTGTCCAACTGCAAGACACGAATTGTACCATTCTCCTAGCTGTATTCTCCAATTCTCTGCAGCATAAGTTGAGCCGTGCACAACCATCATTTGCCTCACTCCTCCGCATGCATGCCTCCCCCCTAAACCCTAAGACCTTAAACCCCCTTGCCTTCATGCTTCTCCTCATCCTCCCCTGGACAGTCACACTGAACTTTCCCCTCACGTCACCTCCCATTCCATCATCACTCCCTGCCTGCCACCCTACCTGCCTATCCGCCTGCCTGCAGCCTCATTGTCAAGGCGACCCCCTTCTGGCGAATGGAGAGTTCTCAGCTTGGTCAGGGCAGTCAGCTGCTGCAGCCCATCATCCGTGACTGCCGCGCCATCCAGCACAAGTCTCTCAAGTCCTGTCAGCCTCCCTACCTGCACCATGCCGGCATTTGTCACGCCCTTGCATTCAGAAAGCCCCAGCCCGTTGAGAGAGGAGAGATCTGTCAAGTGCGGCAGACCAGCATCGGTCACCTTGGTGTGACCGAGATTTAGGGTTTTGAGATTGACCAAAGACCCAATGCCTTCCAAGGCATCATCTGAAACGTTTGTGTGGCCAAGGTATAGCCTCTCCAACCGTGGCAGCCTGTAGAGGTGCTTGATGCCCTCTGCACTGAAGCCTGAGCTAGAGTTTAGGAGAATGGCCGTCAGATTCTTCAGTGTAGACACATGGGCGAGCATGGCGTCTGAGATGCCGTCGAGATTTGCCAGGTTCAAGGTTCCCCGCGTTGCTGACGTGAGTCTAACGCGCTGATGGATGAAGAGGGGATGACAAGAAAAGGCATGTCCAGTCCACGTGACCATAGCCAACAACGCATGCCAATAACGCACACCCTAAGAAATAGTTTGCTCACCAATCACCAGCTGAGCATTCTCCTCCATGTCTTGTGGCATGAGCCATTCCGTACCGGTTCCCGATACCTCCATGGCGCGTGGCCAAATCAACTTCTGCAGCTGCCTCCTCCTCTCCTCCCTCCCTTTTGCCAACCCCGCACTCCGTACTACGGAATGCCGAAGTGGATTACTGACTGTGGCATGTCGAAATCATGTGGAAGTGAATGCATGGAGGTAAACAGGGACACACACAAGAAAATGTAGGAACAGGAGCGAGTGACATCCAATCCGAGAAACAGCAGCCAACGGCGAGTATATACCCGACGCAGTTTCCTCAGTAAACTCAATTGACCGAGGCGAGGTGAACATCACTTGTCGCGGAAACGAGTAATTGTTTTCTAGTCGACCACCGACCGAGGCAAGGCGATCATCACTTACTTTGTGGTTCAAATAATCAACACAATTTGATCCCCGTGCTACTTGCCAGAGGAGTTTGAATTCAAAACAAGAAGCTCGGCTAGTCAGGGTGGTCTTCAGGTGGAGCAGGGTGTGGGATTTTCAGGTGGGGGTGGGAGGCGGGGCAGGATAAATACTCTGGTAGTGGATGGTGGGATTTCTCTCTTACTGCTGCCTGCACAGACTCTTAGATCAGCTCATTCACTGCAATCGTCACTCTCTCAGCAGCCATACTGCTATTATCATCGCAGACTGGCAAGAGCAGACAAGCCTAGGTAGGGCCGGTTCGAGTATCATGAGAGAAAAGCGGAACATAGAATGAAAAGAGGGAGGAGAAAAGGGGCATGGTCAGTGCGCACACAAACAAGACCAATTACACGGGCATGAGGGATGAGGCAGTGCTGGGAGAAAGGAAGCAGATAAGGAGCAGCAGAAGAGGAAGACGTGACTGGCACACAGAGGGCTGGTACACAGGTTGAGTAGTGTCAGTCACTTAAAAGTGAGCTGAAAGAGCAGAGCAACAGCCACACAATCTAGGTAAGAGGAAAAACGCTTATGTAAAAGCAATTTTCGAGGGGGGAAAAGTAAGAGGGGAGCGAGGGAAGACAGAATAGGCAAAATCAATGTGTGAATGCAATTTGTGAATAAGCAACAGACACTTGCACCAGAACTTGACATCAATATAAGTGCGGATGGGGAGGGCCACACACACCAACTGGAGGTAGAACCAACAGCACTTGGCCAAAGCAGAATCTGGGTGGAGAAAAAGAGCATGATGGGATGCTGCATGAGGATGCGGAGCAGCAATGACAAAAAGGCGAAGAGTTCAGCTCAGCCTGGCATGAAACCTGCCAGCTCTGCTCCTTACCAGTCAGGCAGGCGAGGGAAGCTGGAGCAAGCACACAATCAGGGGATCTGAAAGAAGAGGGCGAGGGAGGACAGAAATGGTAGTGAGGAAAGGGCTGAGCGATGGATTTGCCGTTTGTGGTGCTCTTTGATGCTTCCTGTGTCTACCCACAACGTGGCTTGTTATCCAAGTCAGCTCACAGCGAGCTGGTCAGCTTGAGATGATGTGGCTGACTGAAACCAAAGCGACTCGGGTCGCACTAGTGGTTCTCTACAGCAGTTCGCTACTGACCATACTGATGCATCAAATTTTTTTTTTTTTTAATCGTACTGATGCATTCAGAGCCTCATTCATTCATAAGCCCTCCGTTGGTTAAGTTTGGCAAGCAGCGTGGAAACAAACATGGGAATCCGTTGACCTGGTGGATCACACATGGAGGAGGTCGAGAGAGGGTGTTTCACGAGTCACGAGTAACAAGCTAGGCCAAGTACAGCCTAGGTCGGTTACAACAAGTTAACAACCTAGGTCACTCAGAAGCTAGCTCGGTCACCAGCTAGACCCCGCATAGGTTAGGGCAGTATAGGCTAGGTTAGTCACGATTTAAGTCAGTTACACACTGAGTCACTTATTGGCCAGGTCAATTATTGAGTAGGTCACGCACTGGCTAGGTCACTTACTGGTTACTTCAGTCGAAACCTAGGTCAATCAAGCACGAACCCCCCCCAGAAACCAGGTCAGTCAGACCCTATGTCAGGGCAGAGGGTCTGTTGGTCGCAGGCTAGACTAGCCCCAAGCTGGGTCATTCACAACAAGTCAGTTGGAGACTGCAATGCGACGGTCCTAAGGTAGATCAATCACCAGCTAGGTCAATCACACGCAAGGCCAAATAGAGATTTGGTCACTCAGAAGCTAAGTCAGCCACTCACAAGCTAAGTCAGTCCCTCACAAGCTAAGTCAGTCACTCACAAGCTAAGTCAGTCCCTCACAAGCTAAGTCAGTCACTCACAAGCTAAGTCAGTCACTCACAAGCTAAGTCAGTCACTCACAAGCTAAGTCAGTCACTCACAAGCTAAGTCAGTCACTCACAAGCTAAGTCAGTCACTCACGAGCTAAGTCAGTCACTCACAAGCTAAGTCAGTCCCTCACAATCTAAGTCAGTCACTCACAATCTAAGTCAGTCACTCACAAGCTAAGTCAGTCACTCACAAGCTAAGTCAGTCACTCACAAGCTAAGTCAGTCCCTCACAAGCTAAGTCAGTCACTCACAAGCTAAGTCAGTCACTCACAAGCTAAGTCAGTCCCTCACAATTTAAGTCAGTCACTCACAAGCTAAGTCAGTCACTCACAAGCTAAGTCAGTCACTCACAAGCTAAGTCAGTCCCTCACAAGCTAAGTCAGTCACTCACAAGCTAAGTCAGTCCCTCACAATCTAAGTCAGTCACTCACAAGCTAAGTCAGTCACTCACAAGCTAAGTCAGTCCCTCACAATCTAAGTCAGTCACTCACTAGATAAGTCAGTCACACAAGCTAGGTCAGGCACACAGGCTAGGTCAGGCACACAGGCTAGGTCAGGCACACAGGCTAGGTCAGGCACAAAGGCTAGGTCAGGCACACAGGCTAGGTCAGGCACACAGGCTAGGTCAGGCACACAGGCTAGGTCAGGCACACAGGCTAGGTCAGGCACACAGGCTAGGTCAGGCACACAGGATAGATCAGTCACACAAGCTAGGACCAGAGTTGAATATATCAGAGAGATATCGTAATGTGCAAGTTTGTTCAATCAATGGCTAGGTTGGTCACTCTGGCTAGGTCACTCACATAGCTCAGACCTAAACCAAATCATGTGAAGAGTTTTCAGGCTAACAGAAGAAAAAACACTTCGTTCCCTCCAACTTTTTCATATTTGATGATTCGTCGAGAAATGTTGAAAAAACAGAAACAATACTGCCAGATCGCCATCAACCAACCACACCTTGCCGCATCTACAAAACCCATTGATTCCTTCCCACACAAATTCACTCTATTATACTCACTGCTCTCGCACGCCTCCCTATAACGAACCCCCTTCCCCTTATCTGCACGCCTAGCCTATTTCAGTCCCGATAGCCATATCTTGATACTTATTTTCATAATCAGAATCAAACATGACTTTCCAGGAAAGATCACTCAGACAAGGTCCGCCACTAGCTTGGCCAGTCAGGGGCTAGGCTGTTTTGAAGGCTACGTCGGTTGCAGGCCAGGCAATCATTGGAATTCCCTCATAAGGTACGACAACTCAGGCTAGGTCAGACACAAGCTAGGTCAGACACAAGCTAGGTCAGACACAAGCTAGGTCAGACCCAAGCTAGGTCAGACACAAGCTAGGTCAGACACAAGCTAGGCCAGACACAAGCTAGGTCAGACACAAGCTAGGTCAGACACAAGCTAGGTCAGACACAAGCTAGGTCAGACACAAGCTAGGTCAGACACAAGCTAGGTCAGACACAAGCTAGGTCAGACACAAGCTAGGTCAGACACAAGCTAGGTCAGACACAAGCTAGGTCAGACACAAGCTAGGTCAGACACAAGCTAGGTCAGCCACAAGCTAGGTCAGACACAAGCTAGGTCAGACACAAGCTAGGTCAGACACAAGCTAGGTCAGCCACAAGCTAGGTCAGACACAAGCTAGGTCAGACACAAGCTTGGTCAGCCACAAGCTTGGTCAGACACAAGCTAGGTCAGACACAAGCTAGGTCAGACACAAGCTAGGTCAGACACAAGCTAGGTCAGACACAAGCTAGGTCAGACACAAGCTAGGTCAGACACAAGCTAGGTCAGCCACAAGCTAGGTCAGACACAAGCTAGGTCAGACACAAGCTAGGTCAGACACAAGCTAGGTCAGACACAAGCTAGGTCAGACACAAGCTAGGTCAGACACAAGCTAGGTCAGACACAAGCTAGGTCAGACACAAGCTAGGTCAGACACAAGCTAGGTCAGACACAAGCTAGGTCAGACACAAGCTAGGTCAGACACAAGCTAGGTCAGACACAAGCTAGGTCAGCCACAAGCTAGGTCAGACACAAGCTAGGTCAGACACAAGCTAGGTCAGACACAAGCTTGGTCAGACACAAGCTTGGTCAGCCACAAGCTTGGTCAGACACAAGCTTGGTCAGCCACAGGCTTGGTCAGCCACAGGCTTGGTCAGCCACAGGCTTGGTCAGCCACAGGCTGGGTCAGCCACAGGGTAGGTCAGTCAGTGAGAGCCCGGGACAGTGACAGCATGTTGAATGAGCCATGGAGAGAAGCAGCAGGACGGGAAGGGCCTAGGCCAGCAATGAATCAGGAGTTACACAACGGGCGCTGATACATGTACGAGCAGGCACCATGACTCATACGTTGGGAGTCTTGAAATGCGGAACGCCAAGAATGGGAGACAATAGGGAGGTTCCTTTCCCTGTATTGGGTGTGGAGTTAGAGTGATTACCCTTTCTGAAAATACTTCTTCAAGTGTCGATGTTTTCCACGTATCGGGTAACGACTCAGCAGCGTCGACGCGAGGACAGTCTATCAGCAGTGCGTGGTGATGGTGGCGAGGCCTGGCAACACTGGAATTGCTGGAAGGGAAGTAATGTGGTGGGATGAGCGGGGCCTGGAAAGTATTCAATGCTTTAGAAACTCGTTTTCTTGGCAATGCATAAGTGGTTGATTACGCAATTGGCGTCAAAATGCCCGCACAAGAGCACGGAGGCGTGGCGCCATGCATGACAACTGCATAGTATTTCTGTTTGCGCTAACTCTGGGAACGTGGCCTGGAGACCGTTTGGAGGCAAAGGACGTGAGAGACAGAGGGCAGGGAGCACCGAAGGACTTGAAAGCATCGAAGAATGGAGGAAATGAAGATAAGGGTAGTGCCGGTGTGCGAGTGGAATAACCGAACCAGGTTTAGCCCGGAGCTGTTTCTAGGGTTTCGCGGATTGAAACGTCCTGGCGTGAGGATAGGAGAGGCAATGACGACACCTACTAGGCGAAACGGGTTTTGGACACGCCAAACGATCCGAGGTTGCCGCGAATCTCACGCAAGAACTTGAATTGTATCTGAACGAGCAGATAATGCGTGAGGAGCGGAGGGAAACTATGACTGCTACGGAGGGAAGATATGACTGGCTGCTACTAACTGCTACGCGGGTTCTGCTTGTGACTCGTGCTGCGTTTCTAATTGGTCATTCTGGGATCCATAATTCGCCTCATATAACGACGTGTGTGCGAAATACGGGTGAGGCACGAGAACAGGCACTGGGCACTGTTACCTCGCTCAATGCAAATCCTTGGGTGAACTGAGAACGACACAATGACTTGCAGATTCGGTCACGTCTCACAAAGTTCACGGCACTGCTTGACTCGCGAGCAGATTTGTGTTTCATCGGGATGGAAACGCCGAACTTTGACGATACGAGTTTCGAACACATCACAACGCCAATTATCGCCGCACATCCTCCCCGCTATTAGCTGCTGCCATTCATTACTAAAAGCTTACGTTCCTTTCTTCAATAGCTAGAACCGCGCCAGCAAGCACGGATGCCATCGTCCACTTTCGATAGCCGATAGTGTCGCCACGTGTTAGTGCATCGATAGCGACCAAATTCGGTTTACATTCGCCGTTCCACTCTCGCACAAACGCGCCTCGGCTGTAATGCGATGCCCACACGTTCAAACCCAAGAATTCGATGTTTATTTCAGTTCGCAGTGCGAAATCCGGCATGCAAGCGAAGAAAGGATCGACGAAATGACACGAGCTGAATGAAACCTAGAGTACTGCGACGAGAGGGAGTCGATGGGCCCCAAGCCTTCGAATCGCGTTTGGGATCGACCCAATGCATGCGTTGCCCACGTGACTACGGGTGAAGTGCAGCCTGACATGCGACGCAGCGCTGCTCGTCGCACACGAGATGACGGGTAAGGTGGTGCGACAGCGACGCCTCACGGCGGGAATCGGTGAGGACAGGGACGGAGAGATGTGAGAGGCGAATGGTGATCTGAATAGACGGATAGGAGTGGGAGGAAAGCACAGCTGACATGCATGTGGGTGACGTGCTGCCCCCCTCATACCCTTCGTAGTTTATCCTCTTCGTTATTTATCCTCTTGCCTCCTTTTGACTCGACTCAAAAGCGGATAGGAGTGGGAGGAAAACACAGCTGGCATGCATGTGGGTGACGCGATGCCTCCCTCATATCCTTTGCAGTTCATCCTCTTGCCTCCTTTTGAGTCGGCTCAAAAGCGGATTGGACTGAGAGGCAAACACAGCTAGCATGCACGTGGGTGACGCGATGCCTCCCTCATACCCTTTGCAGTTCATCCTCTTGCCTCCTGCCTGCTCTTGCGCCCTGAGTCAAGTTCCCACCTCTTTTCCTCCGCTTCCAAGTCCTTCCGCCCATTTTCCCGGCCTCCGGGTTCCGATTTTTCATCTCTCGAGTTATTCTTTTCCTCGCAAGTTATCTCCTCTTGTGGCGTCGCTCCTTCCCACCCTCTATCCGTATCACCCTCTCGTGCGCTCGTGCGGTTTCACGCTGTCCTACGCTGTCCCACTGCCCATGAGTCTTGCTCCTCATAGTCAGCCTTTCCTTAGTCCAGTATCTAAATATACCCTTTCTCAACTTTTTTAGAAATAGCAATCTGACTGTCTTCTTTTCCCTCTCACGCCTCGACTTTTTAATATGCTTGTGTTCAACGGCCTGATGTTATTTCTGGAACCAATCTTGCTTTTCACTCATTGTGCTTTCCTCCACCCTTGATCTGCACGGCACTTTCATCACAACGTATTCTTCCTGAAAAAACTGGTTGAAATATACGGTTTAACCTATGGCTCTTCACTCTTGCTGCGCCATGCTTTCAAATCGCCTGTATACCAAGGGATAGGTTCTATGCATCATAATACAAATACAAGAATTTACCTGGCTAAGGAAACGACACGGCTGCGTCTGTAGACTCTGCATGTCTCTGAAGTTGCCTGTATCATTGAGATGGTGTTTCTGCTGCTGCTGTGTTTTGAGTCGACTCATAACTTGCCTGTATCATTGAGATGGTATTTCTGGTGCTGCTTCTACTCACTTCCCCTGCTCCTGTTGATCCTTCTGCTCCTACTGCTGCTCCTCCTGCTCCTACCCACAGGTTCTCTTGAGGACGAGCGGACGGAGGGGCGGTACGAGTGAGTTTCAGTGGCAAGAGCAGTCTCATATGAACTTTCCCTCTTTTCTTGTCGACCCGCGCTCTCCTGCATGCAGGTTTTCTCAATCAGAAGGGGACAGAAGGGTGGTACGAGTGAGTTTCAAAGGCAGCAGCAGTCTCATCTGAACTTTCCCTCTCCCTTGTCAACCCACGCTCTCCTGCCTGCAGGTTTTTTTTATCAGAAGGGGACGGAGGGGCGGTACGAGTGAGTTTCAATGGCAGCAGCAGTCTCATATGAACTTTCCCTCTTCCCTTGTCAACCCACGCTCTCCTGCCTGCAGGTTTTCTTGATCAGGAGAGGACTGAGGGGCGGTACCAATCAGCTTTACTGGCAGCAACAGCACCATCTTGGCTGTCTCCCTCCCTTTCCTCACGACCTCATTCCCCCTCGACCCCCCTCCCTCCCTCCGCGCTCTCCTGCCTGCAGGTTCTCTCAATCAGAAGGGGACGGAGGGGCAGTACCAATCAGCTTCACTGGCAGCAGCAGCAGCATCATCTGAGCTTTCTTTGAGTCTGGGTCAACTGAGCTGGCCTTCTGGGGCAACAACGCGTGAGTGATTGAGGGAGTGAGCGAGGGAGTGGGTTATATCGGTCAGGTTCAGCAGCACCAACAGCATCATCTGGGCTTTCTTCGAGTCTGGATCCACTGAGCTGGCCTTTCACGGTAACAACGCGTGAGTACCACCAGCAGCAGTTTCGTGAGTGTGGGGAGTTTGTAAGATCTCCTTTCCCTCTCCTCTCTGGGCTACTTTCCTGCACAACATAGGAGAAGAGCACCATTCCATGAGCGTTCAAGAAAGATCATCAAAATGGTAAGCGTGATGCTAGCGAATGTCTCATGTGTCATGAGGGTCATGTTCTGTTGGTGACAAGCATGTGTCATTTTCAGGTCATGTTTTGTTGGTGTCTGTTGGTTATGCTCTGTTGGTGTTTCACAAGGGTCATGTTGGTCACATTGGTCATGTTCCTGTCATGTTTGTTTGTAACTCTGATTTTGGGTTTTGTTGTTTTACACCTTCACAACACTCCTGCACTCTGTCATGTTTCCGTTCTGTGTCACTCCTCATCCATTCTTCGTCATGTTCACAATTTCCTGTTTTGCTAACACCCCTTGCACTCCATTAGGACTTTCTGTACATAGTGTGTATATACTAAGTCCACGTACCTAGGAACATTGTAAATAAAGTCTGGTCTAAGGCGCCAGTTTCAGGTACTGGTCCGAAAGGGCGTGGGTTCAAATCCCACTCCTGACATAGTTGCCCACAGCTTTTCCCATTCTCCATGGGAGCTTTTTGCCCTCCACCCCTGCAGATTTGCCCTCCACCCCTGCAGATTTGCCCTCCACCCCTGCAGATTTGCCCTCCACCACTGCAGCTCCGCCCTCCACCACTGCAGCTTTCCCCTCCACCACTGCAGCTCTGCCCTCAACCACAGCAGCTTTGCCCCACTGCTGATCTTTTTTATTGCTGAACATCCATCTGTCGTCTCCCATTCCCATCCTCTCTCATCCACTCATTTCACCACTCATCCTCGCCCTCACCATGCTGCAACCACTCGGAATCTTCCCTCTGCTCCGCAGCCCCATGTGAGAATGCCCCAACTCACATCGGGTTTCACTACTTCTCTGCACTACTTCTCTCCAGCAGTAAACCCTAAACCTTGTGTAACCTTTTACTGATTGTTTCTCCCTCTCAACCTCCATCTCACCTGACTGTGACCCAACTGCACATTCAGTTGCCAACTGCTGGAGGTGGCAAGGCCCTATTGGAGGATACGTTGGGGTATTCACCGAAACCCACCTATAGCAGACGAGTTGCTATGGTGAGTGTGATGCTGATGAGTGATAAGGGGGTTGAGGGAACACTTAGGTGGTGCATTGGTGCAGCAGATTTCAGAGGAGAGGGGTAAAGAGGGGTGGAGAGTGGAGAAGAGTAAAGAAAGCCAAGGGTTGCGTGGTGTGAGAGTAACCCATGTCGAGATGGCCGAGTTGGTCTAAGGCGATGTCAAACCGACTTTTCTCAGCCTTAGCCCAGCGCATCTCCGCACACGCAGCAGAGCAACTGCGGGCAGCCGCTACCCAGCACCACCAGATGGTCCGTTTAACATCCCTTCAGGACCCGTCTGCTGGCGCTTGGCTCACGGCTGTCCCATCTACTCCCCGCGCACAGCTTGAACCCGCAGACTGGCTCATTGCAGCTGAAATCCGCCTAGGCCTCCCCATCCCTCACCTTCGCCTCCTCGAAGAAGCCCCACCCTGCTCCTGTGGACACACATACTCTAACCCCACTCTCCCTAGTCATGCACTCCGCTGCCCTGACCTCCACGAAACAACCCGGGTGCATGACGCGGTCAAACACGAAGTAGCCAGAATCACAAGGGAGCTCGGCTTCACGGTTCGTATGGAAGACCCCACGGTGCTGCCTGACGCTATTCCTGATGTCACATGCCTTGATCCTTCCGCAGGAATCAAGTGGGCCTTAGACGTCTCCATAGCCGACCCACAGCTTCCATCGGCACCACTAACAGTCGTGCACACAGTAGGCTTAGCAGCAAAACAGCGGGAGGCGGAGAAACGGAGTCGCTGCGCTTCAGCTTTGCGCGACCGACCAGCAGTAAAACTCATTCCCCTTGTACTTGAGACTTTCGGGTGTTTGGGCAGTGATTTCAGGTCTTTCTTGAGGGATTGCAGTCACCGGGCAGCAGCACGGCATGTCGACTTTGGGGCAGCAGACACTGTACTGGCTTCTGCGTTTGAGAGCTCCTACACTCTTCGTGTCTCCATGGCATTGCAGCGAGCGCAGGCCAGGTCAATTCGCCGCAGGGTGGAAGCAACGTTCCCAGCCACATCCGAGGAAGTGTCAACTGAAGACCCATCTTTCAACGACCAGTTGTCATTCACTGTTCATGCACCTGACCTTGCGTATTTGTACAACCCCCGAATCTGAGGGGGTTTAACCTTCAGTAGATGTTTTGCACTAGGGTAGAATTGACAGGGCGTTTCTGTGGGTGTTTCACATGTGTCACTGTGGTCGTGTGTGGTTCGTGTTTCCGCATGAGTCATGCTGGTCATGTTCTGTTGGCTTTTCACATGTGTCATGAGGGTCCTGTTCTGTTGGGGACAAACATGTGTCATTTTCAGGTCATGTTTTGTTGGTGTCTGTTGGTTATGCTATGTTGGTGTTTCACAAGGGTCATGTTGTTCACATTGTTCATGTTCCTGTCATGTTTGTTTGTAACTCTCTGATTTTGGGTTTTGTTGTTTTACACCTTCACAACAATCCTGCACTCTGTCATGTTTCTGTTCTGTGACACTCCTCATCCATTTGTCATGTTCACAATTTCCTTTTTGCTAACACCTTTGCACTCCATTAGGACTTTCTGTACATAGTGTAAATACTATAAGTCCATGTACCTAGGAACATTGTAAATAAAGTCTGGTCTAAGGCGCTGGATTAAGGTTCCAGTCCGATAGGGCGTGGGTTCAAATCCCACCCTCGACAGGTGTTGCCCTCTTTTTTAGTGTGCAGGTTAGCAGGGCACTGGCATGCTGGTTTCCTGCGTAGCAGGGTCCCATTAGGCTTATTGGTTAACATGCTGCTCCAGCCACTCTTGCCCCACTCTCCCTTACAGCATTTCCATCCCCTTTTCCTAAAGCCTTTCTCCTATTTTCACGCAGATGCGATTTCTTTATGTGTTCTCTTGCCTCTCCTCTCGTCTCCATCCTCTCCCTTCTCCCCTCTCCCCTCTCCCCTCTCGCCGCCATCCGGTCCAGCAGCTCGAGGCAGGGCGTTTCCTCATAATCTCGGTCTTTCTTGTTGTGCTGCCCCGACCGTCGCACCTCCCACCCCTTTTGGGGCGCCTCAAAAGGCGTTTCCTCATAATCTCGGTCTTTCTTGTTGTGCTGTCCCGACCGTCGCACCTCCCACCCCACAGCACGAGACGGGTCTCTTTCTCACCTTTTACCCTCTTCTGTTTCAAATCTCTCCCCTCTCCCACCTCCCACCTCCCATCTCCCACCTCCTTTACTCCCTATCCCACCTCGCACCCCACAGCACGAGACGGGTCTTCTCACCTTTTACCCTCTTCTGTTTCAAATCTCTCCCCGCTCCCACCTATTTCGGTGTTACTTTTGAGAGTTCTCAAGAGTACCCCCACAGCACGAGATGGGTCTTCTTCTCACCTACTCTCTTATCCCACCTCGCACCCCCCGTCCCACCCCACAGCATGAGGCATGGCATTTCCTCATCTCCTATCTGATAAGCATCCCTCCCCACGCAGCTTCACTCTCCCACCTTCCCACCTCCCACCTCCCTCACTCTCTTATCCCACCTCGCACCCGCCTCCCACCCCACAGCACGAGCCAGGGTATTTCCTCATCTCATACCCGGTGGGCATCCCCCCACGCAGCTTCACTCCCTCACGTCCCATCTATTCCACCTCCCACCTCCTTCACTCTCTTATCCCACCTCCCACCTCCTTCACTCTCTTATCCCACCTCCCACCTCCTTCACTCTCTTATCCCACCTCCCACCTCCTTCACTCTCTTATCCCACCTCCCACCTCCTTCACTCTCTTATCCCACCTCCCACCTCCTTCACTCTCTTATCCCACCTCCCACCTCCTTCACTCTCTTATCCCACCTCCCACCTCCTTCACTCTCTTATCCCACCTCCCACCTCCTTCACTCTCTTATCCCACCTCCCACCTCCTTCACTCTCTTATCCCACCTCCCACCTCCTTCACTCTCTTATCCCACCTCCCACCCCCTCCACTCTCTTATCCCACCTCCCACCTCCTTCACTCTCTTATCCCACCTCCCACCTCCTTCACTCTCTTATCCCACCTCCCACCTCCTTCACTCTCTTATCCCACCTCCCACCTCCTTCACTCTCTTATCCCACCTCCCACCTCCTTCACTCTCTTATCCCACCTCCCACCCCCTCCACTCTCTTATCCCACCTCCCACCTCCTTCACTCTCTTATCCCACCTCCCACCTCCTTCACTCTCTTATCCCACCTCCCACCTCCTTCACTCTCTTATCCCACCTCCCACCTCCTTCACTCTCTTATCCCACCTCCCACCTCCTTCACTCTCTTATCCCACCTCCCACCCCCTCCACTCTCTTATCCCACCTCCCACCCCCTCCACTCTCTTATCCCACCTCCCACCTCCTTCACTCTCTTATCCCACCTCCCACCTCCTTCACTCTCTTATCCCACCTCCCACCTCCTTCACTCTCTTATCCCACCTCCCACCTCCTTCACTCTCTTATCCCACCTCCCACCTCCTTCACTCTCTTATCCCACCTCCCACCTCCTTCACTCTCTTATCCCACCTCCCACCCCCTCCACTCTCTTATCCCACCTCCCACCCCCTTCACTCTCTTATCCCACCTCGCACCCCCTTCCCACCCCACAGCATGAGCCAGGGCATTTCCTCATCTCCTATCTAATTGGCATCCCTCCACGCAGCTTCACTCTCCCACCTTCCCACCTCCCACCTCCGTCACTCTATTTTCCCACCTCCCATCCCCCTCCCACCCCACAATTGTTGGAGCAAGCAGGCACCAGGTATTTTTATTTGGCCTTTCAGAAGCAGACAAGAACATGGCAAAAAATATATATTTTTTGTTCCCAGGAACAACCTCAGCTCACTGGTGCCCTCTCAATCAGCACCTTTGCTTTTAAGGCGCCTCAAAAGTAGACTCCATTTGAGGCGCCTCAAAAGTATACCACATCTGAGGCGCTTAATAATTTGACTCACTGGTGCCTTCTCAATCAGCGCGTTTGCCACTCATTCGCCCCCTACCTTCCTTCTCTCCCTGTGAGTATGCTTCAAATGCTGGATGCCGTTTTGTGTGTGGCCGTGGCTGGAGTTTGCGCCCACTACCTGCAATTCGGGGTTGCAGAGGGTGGCATTTTTTAGTCGACTCAAAAGTGTGTCGTGTGCCATCGTAAAGAGTTGCATTGAGAGGTTAAACTCCCAACAACCCTCCGTATCCAGCCCCACTTATGCTTCCCCCCTCTTTCCCGCAACCCCCAGCCACCGCACCTGTTCTTATCCAGCCCAACTTGAAGCACCACCCAGTCTAGTGCTTACCAGGTGCCTTACAGTAAGTGAGAATTTGCTCCTTCACTTGCTCGCCCTCTCTTCCTCGCACCGCCACATCCACTGCACTGGCTCTCCTGCCACTGTTTGCTTCTGCCACATCCACTACACTGGCTCTCCTGCCCTGCACTGCACTGCACTGCCACGTGTCTCCGCCATCACATCATCGTTGCCATTGATTCTCCTCAAATGCCAACTTCTGAGGCACCTCTCAAGCCATGTGTTTCCGCCATCGAGTCATCGTTGCCATTAATTCTCCATTCTACACAAGGATCTCAACCGCCCTTCTCTCCCCTTTCATGATTCTGCTTTTTGAGAGTTAGAAAAAAAAAAAACAGATTCACCGCCATCACATCATCGTTGCCATTAATTGTCTATTCTACAGAAGGATCTCAACCACCCTTCTCTCCCCTTTGATGAAACCATTTTTTAGAATTCTCAAAAACAGATTCACCATCGTCACATCACATCATCGTTGCCATTGATTGTCTACAGAAGGATCTCAACCATCCTTCTCATCCCCTTGATCCTTCCATCCTTCCATCCCTCCTCCCCCACTCCCTTACCCCTGTTTCCCTCGGCCCCCAGCCACTGCACTTGTTCCTTTTCCAATTCAATTGTTTTTATGATTTCTTTTCCTACTTCATCCCACATCTCATCCCGTACTTCATGTCATACCTCATCGCACATTACACATCCTACTATGCTGTAGTTTTTAAATCACATTCACTTCCCTCAGTCCTTTCCCTTTCTTACACTCATGCCCGCCCATCTCTCAGTCACAGCCAGCATAATCCCCTCGAACACAGAGGGGTGCAAATGGGTGCCACACAGCAGCAGAAACCGAGTCATCAGTAATCAGCCAGGGGGGGTGCTTTGAGTGGGTGGAGTGTGGCTGTACTGAGGAGGTGCAGTTTTGACGCTTCTGTCTTGTGTAGCATAAATTCTGGTGTTTCGAGTACGGTAGTATATCAACCATGAATTCTGAAGCATAGCAGGCACTGCGAGAGCTTGTGGTGACACACAGGAGGGCAGCAAATTGCTTTGCAACGCAATAGGGAATCCAAGTTACATTCGATTGAATTAGTACTCTTCTGCTTGCCTTCTGTGTGCCAGTGAATGGGCCATATGTGTTGGATTGCTTCACCTCTGCCCTCTGTCCCATGGATCATGCCCTGCCAACCGGCTGAGCCAGCAAAAAAAGACAATTTACCGAATCTAGAGCGTTGGAGCTTTCCGTACTGATGATTTAAAATTGAGCATTATGAATCTGACAAAAGACTACAGTAGAGCACGTCCTAGCTTGCTTCCAACATCAGGCCAGCGAGACTGCAGTTGAAGCACACCTGTGTGCACCTGTTTCTGTATACCGTATTCTCCCGGACATAACACCCTAGGGTATAGCTAAAAATACAGGGAAAAAATGGGGGGGGTCTCCTCATAGGAAAAAAAAACATAATACCCGGGTCTTTACACATGGCATATTTTAGTGTTAGTGTTTTTTTAATTAGTCAATGTGGGTGTTTTGCTGGTCGTTTTAGCATCACTGCCTGAGGTGCGAATGTGAGTTTCGGCCTCGAATTTCATCGCCCCCACGAAAATGGCATGTGGCACCTCTCTTGCCACTTGCAACGGAAGATTCACCTGCACGTGGCGACAGAGAAATAGTGGGAGGGGGCAAATCTCGGCAGATTGCCTTTGAATGTACCGCGAAATTTCATTGAGGGAGAAATTCACACGATATTCTTCCGTATTGCAGCTACTCGTTAATGACTATAATAATGAATCCGTAAGAAAAGGGGGGTGTTATAGAAAATCAGCCAAAAAGGGGGGTATAGTAGAAACGAGGTCTATCATAACACCCACCCCGCACAAGCTACCCGGGGGTGTACAATTATGGGGGGGTGTTTTGTCCGGGAGTATACGGTACCCTGTGCAGTTGTACACAACGTTGCAATCTGAGGTCAAGGCACAACTTCACAAGTTTCTCCAACTGGTCCTCTTAGGTGTGCAGCGGCAAAGCCTCACCCAGCCACCAACTCGCACACACCTCCACATCCACACTCCTTGCATACGATATGAACCTCTCCTCAAGATCACTTTACCGTATCTCCCATTCCCGCATGAACACTCTCTACTCCCCTATCTGCGTGCGGAGATCCTCATTGCACTTGCACACCCAAGCCCCTTGCAGCTGCAGGAGAGCCATCAGCTTTCATCATCCAAGTCCCGCCTCCCAGCCATGCGAGACCTTACTCACCCCTGATCTCAACCCTCGCCCGCTGCCTCTGCTCCTACTGTTGCCGCCACTGCTGCTGCCACTGCTGCTGCTGCCGTGACTGCTGCTGCGACTGCTGCTGCCACTGCTGCTGCTGCCGTGACTGCTGCTGCCACTGCTGCTGCCCTTGATGCTGCCACTGCTGTTGCCACTGCTGCTGCCACTGCTGCTGCCCTTGATGCTGCCACTGCTGCTGCCACTGCTGCTGCCACTGCTACTGCCACTGCTGCTGCCACTGCTGCTGCCCTTGATGCTGCCACTGCTGTTGCCACTGCTGCTGCCACAGCTTCTACCCTTGATGCTGTCATTGCTGCTGCCACTACTGCTGCTGCCGCCACTGCTGGCACTGCTGCTACCACTGCTGCTGCAACTGCTGCTACCACTGCTGCTTCCGCCTCTGCTGCCAATGCTGCTGCTGCTGCCACTGCTTCCGCATATGTTGCCGCCACCACTGCTGCTGCCACTGCTGCTGCCACTGCTGCTGCCACTGCTGCTGCCACTGCTGCCACCACTGCTGCCACTGCTGCCACCACTGCTGCCACTGCTGCTGCCACTGTTGCTGCCACTTCTGCCCCCACCAAGCTCGCCTCCCTCACTGCTCTCTTGCTCGCCCTTGTCCCCAGCTTCCTCTCACCCCCTCCGCTTCCCCTCCTGCTCCGCCTCGCCTCCCCCTTCCCCGTTTCCCCTGCTCATGACCGCTCCCCCCTGCTCGTGACGGCTTCCCCCTGCTCGTGACGGCTTCCCCCTGATCGTGACGGCTCCCCCCTGCTCGTGACGGCTTCCCCCTGCTCGTGAGGGCTTCCCCCTGCTCGTGACGGCTTCCCCCTGCTCGTGACGGCTTCCCCCTGCTTGTGACGGCTTCCCCTTCCATCATATGTAATGCCTGGCAGGTTGTTCCTATGCAGCTCCCCACATGCATACAGTGGTCGCTTGCCCAACCAGCCCTGCACCTGCTGCTGCTCAACTGCAAGGCACGAGTTCCATCACTCCTCCGCATGCATGCAAATTGAGCCGCGCACACCCCTCACCGCGCCACCGTTCCATGCCTCACTCCTCCGCATGCATGCAAATTGAGCCGCGCACAACCCTCACCGCGCCACCGTTCCATGCCTCACTCCTCCGCATGCATTCCCTCATTCTTCACACCCCTTGCCTCCACGCCTCTCCTCACTATCCCCTAGACACTCACACTCAACTCTTCCCTCACCTCACCTCCCTTGCCATCATCACTCCCTCTCACTCTACCTGCCAATCCGCCTGCGTGCATCATCATTCTTGAGGAGACCCCCTTCTGGCGGCCGGAGAGATGTCAGCTTGGTCAAGGCAGTCAGCTGCTGCAGCCCATCATTTGTGACTGCTGTGCCATTCAGAGCAAGGAACTCAAGCCCTGTGAGCCTCCCCACATGCACCATGCCCCTGTCTGTCACACCTTTGCATTGACAAAGGTTTAGCTTGTTGAGAGAGGAGAGGCCTGTCAAGTGCAATAGACCGTCATCGGTGACAGCCGTACAAGCAAGAACAAGCTCCTTCAGCATTGCCAAGCTCCCTACACCCAGCATTCCAGCGCTTGTTATACCCTTGCTTACGTAAAGGCTCAGCTGTCCGAGAGAGGAGAGACCTGTCAATTGCAGAAGGCCAGCATCTGTAACTGCCGTCCCATCTATCACAAGTACCTCAAGCCCTGTTAGCCTCCCCACATGGACCATGCCAGCATCAGTCACGTCCTTGCACCAATCAAGATACAGCGTTGCAAGAGAGGTCAGTGCTGTCAAGTGCAGTAGACCAGCATCGGTCACCTTGGTCCTCCAGAGTTGGAGGTCCTTGAGACTGGTCAAGGACCCAATGCCTTCCAAGGCACTGTCTGAGACGTCTGTGCCATGGAGGTCTAGCCACTCCAGCCGTGGCAGGCTGTAGAGGTGCTTGATGCCCTCTGCACTGAAGCCTGAGCTACATGTTAAGTCAGTGCGCGTCAGATGCGTCATGGTGGACACATGGGAGAGCATGGCGTCTGAGAGGCGGTGGAGACCGTTCAGACGCAGAGAGGTATCTTGTGATGCAGACTTGATTGCCTGGAAGAAAAGGAGAAGGGGGAATGAAGAACAAGCAAGGTATGAGGTTGAGACTGGGCTTCTGTGACGCTGACATGATTACCCGAAAGAAAAGGATGAAGTGGGAAAACATGGCGAAGGAATGGATAACCATAGCAAGCAATGCATGAACTGTGTGCTACAATTCACTCAACACTCACCTCCCATGCCGTCTTCTGATCGCCTTCACTCTCCCTGACTTGCAGCTCAACATCCATCTTCAGATCTTGCATCATCTGCCCTTCCTCACAGGCCGCCGGTTCCTCCACGGTACGTGACTCATTCAACTCCTGCACCTCCCTTCTCCTTTCCTCCTCCCGTGCAACATCCGCTGTGATTTCGTGCTTTCTCTTTCTATTCTTCCCTCTCAGCCCTATTCCACCCGACTCCTGACTACCCTCAGCAAGCTTCTCTTCCTTAGCGTCCTTGCGATTCGTCAATTCTCCCTTAACCACTGCCAACTCGCATTCAACTGCTTCCAACTTCCCCTTAACCACTACCAACTCCCCCTTAACCGCTGCCAACCCCCCCTGCACTGCTGTCAATGCGTGCCGCATGTCCAGCACCTCCTCTATCACTGCTGCCAGCGCCGCCTCTTTCATCATCAACTCATCCACAGCACTCGTCACTCCCTTATCAGCCATATCATCCACCCACTCCCCTCAAGCAACCCTGCTTCAATGTCTGACTGCTCCCTTCGTTCAACTGTCTTAACAACTGCAGATTGGCGAAAGCAGATACGTACAGCACTGGTAGGGCAGGGTTATGTCATAGGAGGAAAGGGAAACGTAAAAAGAAATGAGGGAGCAGGGGCGTGGTCAGTGCACACACGAACGAGACCAATTCCACGGGCATGAGGGATGAGGCAGTGATGGGAGAACGAGAGCAGAGAAGGAGCAGAAGAAGAGGGAACCTGATGACAAGTTGTGGGAGATGAAGGGACTGTGCCCATGCCTTGCTTATATCAAGCAGTGAAGGAAAGAGAGTCTGGCACGATGACGGCCAAACCAGAAGAGGCCAGGACGAGATAATGAAGAGAATATGTCAGGAAGGGCAAGACAAACCAGTAGGGAGTGTGAAATAGGGACACCACAAAACAAACATTGCAGCAAGGCGGAAACAAATGCAGTGGGTAAAGTGAGGGGTGGAGACGCAAAGGGTGGTTCACATTGGGGAGGCACACAGTGGTGAAATCAGGGAAGAAAGACTAGAGTGGGGGAGATGATGAGATTAGAACGGGGAGAGTTATGAGCTGGAAAGATTAACTAGCAATGAGAATGAAAGATTACACTTGGAGGGTGTGGGGGGAGAGGGAGGGGGGAGGGGGGTGGGGAAGGGGGGGAAGCTATGAGCTGGAAAGACCAGAGTGGGGGAGAGGCATGTGCTAGACAGGCTAGAGCGGGGGAGAGGCATAGGTTAGACAGGTGTTGGGCAGAGAGTCAGAGACCTAATCTGGAAAAGGATTATCTCTGGAGAACGGCCACTGCCCTGGGGACCAGAAACTGTTGCCAGTCGCTGCTCCGCTGCCTATCCTTGTGGAATTTCAGGAAATAAGTTATTGGTGGTGACAATTGTCAGGGTAGGTGTGAGGATAGGTGCCGGTAGCTGGAGAAATTGACTGGAGAGAGGAGGCAAGTTGAAGGGACTGTAGGAAGATCTAGGCCATATGTATTGCCGTAATGGTGTAATTTATCCATTATTTTTTTTTGGTTATTATATGAAGAGAATTAGTTTTGTTAGAACATACTTGAGGAAAAACCTTTCTACCATACCAACCATGTGTTGGTTGTGCATAGAGCGCAAAAGTTCTTGTTAGAAGTCTGATACCATGATACGGTATTGGTTGGTTCCTGGTCACTAACTGAATAGCCAAACAGCCAACAAACCTTCTACAACCACTAACGAATTATGCCAATTCGTGACTAGCACGTACAGCTACATTATTCCACACGTTCGTTTCAGGAGTCTTTTTTTTATTACTGCCAGCACCCCTTCAGGTGATCCCAGATCTTGTGTAGTCGTTGCAACCTCTTCCGCAGCCGAGGCGATATCTTCATAAAGCGGTTCCAGTTCCACTTAGTAGACACCAGTTCTGCCCTTGTTGTCTTCACTGCATTCACCACTTCTATTGCCTCTGTCACCTCTTCCATCTCTCGCCTCCGCTCCTTGGAAAAGAAATTTTGCGCTCGACTAACTTAGGTACGTCAGCTGCAGTGGAAGGAACAGGGCGATATGGGGACACAGCAGCAGAAATAAAGTGATAGGAATGATATTGGACGAAAATAAACAGAATGAAGGTGAGTGTTAAGGAAATGCAAGTAATTTAAGGTGGATAACTGGTGGTGTTGTGCATATGCAAGACACACGAATCACCATCCAAAGTCAAGCAAGCACAACAAACAATGGTGGGGGGGGAGCAAACAATTATTGCTGAATATTATTCAAAAACAGGCAGCCAAGGTGATAGAAGAGAAATTGCGAAGGGAATTCGAAAATGGCTGAGATATTAAACGCAGTACACTCTCAATAAAGTAAAAATGCAAGAAAACGGTAAAGATGCGGAAGGGAGTGTTGACGCGAAAGGCCCTGCACGAGCCTGTTTTCGTGTGTGAGGGCGTTGAGCGAAAAGTGCCCGCGCAGCAGAGCGCGTCAAGCAGCCGCGAAAATGTTCACACTGCATTCTGGGTTCGCGTCTGCGCGGGATCGAGATTTCGCGTCTGTGCTGGGGCGAGTTTTCGCGCCCCTGGGAGGTTTCGCGTTGGATCACCGTTGTGGGATTTCCCGCAGGTTACGAAACGGAGGAGGCGCGGAGAAATTGTACATGGCGAAATTTGCGGGAGGGAAATTCGCGCAGTACACTCCGTCGCCGACATTGACCCGCAAAACAGAAATGGACAGAATCGAAGGAAGTGACTATATTGCACAATCGAAGCATGTGTAACTGCAAATGTTGCAGAAACATGAACAACTACTTCTAGTTAGGTAGAAATTTACCTGGCATGTTAATTTCACCTGCCGTTGCTGACTTGGCAACGCACATGCTAGAGTAGTTGTCAGAACGTTTTGCATGAACGTTCGCGACTATCGTCGCTTCGTTCCTATATGGTTCTTGTCCTTCCCATTGTATTCTATCATTCTCTTTTCCTAGTGAAGCTATGTGCAAGCTTTTCCTCAACACTTAGAATTTTCACAAGGCATTACAACAAGATTTCGTGCCCAACCTAGAGTGTACATTTCGTGACGAGATTCCCGGGCCCACAATTTCGTGCCCTAGCCTTCCCGAAATTTAGAAATCTCCGCATGGTGCGGTGAGCGTGGAACGACGCGCGAGACCTTCAGATAGCCGAGTAGGTCACGAAATTTTTCATGCCAGTGTTAGCAGCCACGAAAGGTCCCGAATGTCTGACGACGACGTCGCTTCGGAAGCCATGGATACCCTGGAGGCCCAGGAGGCTGCTATGCGGGAGCGATTGAGTGATACTAGAATCAGCGCAGAGGACTTGGAGCTCCTGATTCTTGGACTCCATGAACGGTGGGCGCGTGATCATCCACCTTCTCGTGCTGAAGCGGACAACGGGTCTGCCGCTCTTCGTGCTGAAAACAACGACGTGAATCTTGGCAATGGAGGCGAGAGGGCAATACGTGGACTTGTACGGGGGCCCGTGTGGGCCAATGCCACGAGTGTCGGAGGAACGCAAGCGCAGGTGCTGCGAGCGGCCGCTGCTGGAAGTGCACGCGGTGGTGCGGATGGGTCACGAATCTCTGCTCGTCGAAGTGTGGACGGACGCGCGAGGGCGTCTCAGCCTTCGACCTCTCGGGACATGGGCATCGCCCCCGAATATGGCTACTTCAAGTTTCACCTGACAAAATCACGGTTCCGAAACCGCTTGAAGGACGCCACGACCTGACAATGTGGGTGGAATCGATTGAGCCGCAGCTCGAAATCGCGCAACTGAAGAAATTCGTGGATGGCTCCGTGGTACCTCCACCAGACGACGACCACGAGCGCATCTCTCAGTTGCACTCCGCACAATTGCTAACGTTCATGGTGATTTCGCGGTGCTGCTCTCCAGTTGTTCAAGTCGCCCTGAAGTCGTGCCGTATGCGCGAGGACGCGGGATTCCAAGCGTGGCAGTTCATCATGAAGACGTACAAGGCCACGGACGACTTGTACCTCGGGCAGCTGGAGCAGCGCCTCACGAACCTCGAAATGGGGGAGCACGAAAACGCCACAAGCTACTGCAACCGTGCTCAACAAATTCTTGCGGACCTGCGAATGGCGGGCGTGGAGTACGCGATGTCCTCGTACATCACGCACGTGATCAAAGGCCTCCCGAACGCTACAATCTGCTGAGGCGAATGGTGAAGCTCCCGGGCGTGCGCGAAGAACTGGACGAGGATTCGCTCTCCAGCTACATCATCGAGGAGTTTACGCTCGAGTCTGAAAAACGCAAGGAGCAGTTGCTTCCGCACGCGAATTTCGTGGCACCATCGCAAAAGGGGGGTCAGCAGCAGCAGGGGAAGCAGCAGCAGCAGCACGGACAACAGAAGCAGCAGCAGCAGCAGGGCAAATTTCGTGGAGGTGGAAAGGGAAGCAAAACCGAGGACAACCGCGGGAAGTCGAGCAAGAAGGAAGATCGCGGCCGTGGCCAACGCAAGCGCTACTGCTTTGTCTGCGGCGACCCGGATCACCTCTCCTACCAGTGTCCAGATCGTGCCGGTGGTGATTCGGGCGATGAGCACGAGGGGCCACGCGAACGGGCGAATGCAGGACATTCTCGGCGTGAAAACCAGCACAACGACTCCCCGAATCATCCCGCGAACAATGCCCGTGGACAACAGCGCGCGAATGCTGGTGGTGGTGGCAACTCGAACGCGAGTGCAAGCGCGACAACAACCACGAACACGAACACGAATGGCGCGGGCCAAGCTTCGTGTGCGATAGTGGGAACGATCGCGTGCGCTTCACCATCAACGGAGACCCCAATTTCGCTGGCGCCTGAGGCGGGTGAAGATTTTCAAGTGGTTGCTGCAGCTGTGCAGGCAAATCCATCAGTCGTGCTGCTGGATAGTGGCTGCTCGCATCACTTGATGGGGGACCGAAATGCATTCGTGGGCATGCAGGACGGAGGCGACGTGAGCCACGTGCACGGATTCAACGGAGCTGTTCAACCTGTTCGTGGCCGCGGAACCGTCGCTCTCGAAGGAGAGGGGGGAAAGCGCATCCTGGTTTCGGACGTGCTTTACGTCCCTGGAGTACAGGCGAACCTCCTCTCGACTGGTCAGCTGAAAGACAGCGGAGTGAAGATGGAGGAAGCGGATGATGAGACTGTGCTCCTCTCCACGAACGGCACCGTTTTCGCGCGAGCGCGCTATACGGGACGGGTACTCTGCACCGACCTTCGTCCGTTCGCGCCACGAAATTCGGACCCCGTGGAAACCGTGGCGCTGCGAGCGATCGTTTCGTCTATCCGCGATTTCGTGGATAAGTGGCACGCTCGTTTGGCTCACGTGGGGATCGACACGATCAAGAAAACGGCCGCGCACAGAGGAGCAGCAGGCTTGGAAATCATTCCATCAAGCGGAACGGACATCCCGTGCGTCTCCTGCGTTGGAGGCAAACTCGTTCGCCACACGTTCCCCG